ATCCGTGATAAGGATTGGATCATACTCGTTAATTAACCATGCAAACGAATTGAGTAATTAATGTGCATACTTGATGAATCAAGAACAAAAGCAAGATAGATACACACGTGCAAGTTAAGCCCTGGCTGGCACATATCCAGGTCATATAGCTTCACACTCTAGTAATATAGTACAATTACTAGACTAGCAAGGTGTATACCAGGTAACAACTAGACGTGGGAGTAAAATCAAACCATCTTAAATTGATTATTTCGATACGCGGCGAGAGACAGACCATTTCAATGTGAGACAGCCGGATATAGATCACGTATGCTCTTGACACGCTGAACAAAACCCTAAAACAAACGTACACACATAATTTTAATATGTCTATAACATTATATATACTTGATCTATATCTATATATATATATTATTTGTTTTATAATAGTCTATTCATGACTCTCCTAATGTACATGTTTACAAGTTTGCTACAACGTCCTGATTGCCACGTGTATTTTCCTGTGATGCCAGTGTGGGTGTGGTGTATCTGATGCAGGTCGATGGTACTAGTACTTAGCGGTCTTGGGCCCAAGAGGTCGAGTGTTGTACCATAAGGATGCGACTATCCGTGAGTTACTGCCGATAGCGGAGCAGGGCTGGATATATATATATACATATATATACATCAAAATAAATGTATATTATAAAATATATATATATATACATATACAGCTTACATACATTCATATATATACATACATACATTCACACACACACATATATATATATATATATACATGCTTACATACATTCATAAATACATTCACACACACATATATATATATATATGCATTTGTATGTTCATGTATTTTGTGTATGTATTTATAATTGTATTTATAATAAATATATATATATATACATACGCATACATACATAGATACATTTATAGATTTATATATATCCATATATAGATATAAATATTCAAATACACGGATGTATATGTACTTTTCTGAGAATATATATCTTTATATATACATACTATATGTATTTCCATATATAGATATAAATATACAAATACACAGATGTATATGTACCTATCTGAGAATATATATCTATATACATACATACTATATATATATCCATATATAGATATAAATATACAAATACACGGATGTATATGTACTTATCTGAGAATATATATCTATATATATACACACATACATACATATATAAATATATGTTCACGTTCATGTGTATGTATTTATATATATATATATGTAAATATATTAATATACAGGTGTAGATAAATGCATGCATTTGTATATTTATATTTATATATATCTATATATACATATATATATTAAAGTTCGTTTGTATGTATACATATAACTATCTATCTATATATATATATATATATATATATAAATTTAAATATATATACATATACAGATAAGTACATATACATTCGTGACAACAAGTGCTTCATCGTAGTCAACCTTGCAAAAGAACTCAGTAGGAATATACTTATTTTATAAAGCAATAAACAAACGCAAGATACTACATGCGCAAATTAAGTCGTGGCTAGTGCATATCCAGGTCATACACACTCACTAATACCAAGACACAGCTTACACTAGCAAGGTGCCATACCAGTATTACCAGGTAACAACCACACGTCGAGTCACATCGAACCGATCCAAATTGTATAATTTCGATACGTGGTGAGCGACAGACCATTATCGATTTGAGGCAGGCGGACAGAGATCACTTATGCTCTTGCCACGCCGAACATCTGCTTGAACTTACGTAATAGTCAAATGTGTAACACGTATATACATTTAAATAAAACGATACATATGCGATGGCAGATATGTACATATATATATATATGAATATTTATATACAAACATACATACATATACATATATATACATATATATATTGTATTATATATATATATATATATATATAATATATATATATATACATAAACAAATACATATAAAAATACACATACATGACCTTATACACATACATATACACATACATAAAAATATACATATACAAGTAATGTATGCATTTACAGAATATGCACGTATGTGTAAAAGTACGTATTGGTACAGATGCACGTATGTGTAAATGTATGTATTGGTACGTGCATGTCTATATTCATGTATAACTATTTAAAAAATAAGTATATTCAAAGGTATTATTGCTGATTGTGTGTCGAATATGAAAAATAATAATCCACAGCTATACCTCCACTTGAATCCATCCTGGATATCATGACACAAGTAAGTCAGAATGTATCCTCTCTAGAGTAAGTCAGTATTTACATGATGTGAAGCATGAACAATTGAAAAGAGGTAAAAGCAGAATATGTACTAGGAGAGAGAGAGAGAGAGACTCTAGAAAAAGAGATAGTGAAGTCGACAATACATACTGCTAGTAGTATACTCTAGTAGTAATAGTTGGTCGTTGCTAAAGAGATGCACAGATTGTGATAAATAAAAATGATCAGTATTAGTAAACTGGTTGCAAAACACGTGCGGTCCATGACCTTGTGGACACTTGACCAGTAATTTATAGTCAGATTAACATTAAAGCTGACTCCGTTTATCGTTCGCGCTCTCGTTGGTCAATATATAAATGTAATTCTGTGGCGTGTACTATTTATAAAACATGATTGGTTGAAAAACAATCATCGAAACATTCCCCCAATCCAGGGGATTCAACTGAGGCATCGGTGACTCAATGACTCGATGTCAGCAGTCAGACAGTCAGACTGCTTCTGAGCAGACGTCATTACGTTACAGTTGTGAAACGTTATAAACGTACAATGTTTGTATCTTTTTGAAAACAATAATATGAGCTAAATGGGAAAAATTGTTTCTGTATATAGTACCTCAGTACCCAAATATGGCACCTTCGACCAACTTACATGACCAAACCAGAAATAAACGTTGAACATACGCGTAAAACTTATTGAGCTAAACGTTTTAACAAATTTAAAACGTAACGAAGCGGGTGGGCACCATAGCCCCTGTCAGTCACTCAGTCTGAGCCTACTCGACGGACTAGAGATATGAGTATGACTGATGAGGCTCTGTCATAGTCAGTCAGTCACTGACACCACTGACTCTCTGACAGTGTCTCGAAGGGGCAATTATAATAAAAAAGCATATCCGAAAACTTGAAAAGCCTTTCTGGTTTCTGTGTTCAGTGTTTTGGGTCACAAAGAAGTTCTTTGGGACTGTGGAGTTGCGAGTTGGATATTATATTGTTGAGACTTTTGAGCTTGAGAGTTGAGCAAAAAAATAGTAGAGTTCTCTCTCTCTCTCTCCCTCCTACGAATAGAGAGAGAGATGATATATATTCAAAAAAAAAATCGATACAATCGAAGTCTCCATCACGGACGCATCGCATAGACTTGATCTGGAACGTGGTGTGAGGAAAGTATAATATAGTGGTCACGGCGCTGTTGCGCTTCAGATATATCTGGAGTGTATTGTTTGCGCTGCATTGTGTAGTGATGGTTTATATAAATGATACGGTGATGAGAGTGAACATGTCTGTGTTTGAGCACATGTTTGCGAGCTTCATCCAGGATACAAAGGACCAGGAAACAAGTCGCCAAGATGGTAACAAAGCGGATGTAAGTTCTGACAGTATAAAGGCGGTTGATACGAAAAGTATATCCGATCGTATAGATAGAAAGACTGTCAAAGGTCACTGTAGGGATCTCATGCCCGACACTATACCCAAAGTCACAAGTAATTTGTCACCTTGTGGCGAGAGGAAAGAACGAGCATATTCATACCAAAAGAAATCATTAGCGCATAATAACCTCGAAGAGACGGACGTGGATGTGGTGGATTACAAAGTGTGCGCTGGCATATTTGCCAAGTTTAGACTGGTAAGTGTTTGTTTCTTGTTAATGCGCTTTTTATACAAAAACTTGTACGTGATGTCTTATAGATACAAGTATATATA